TGGGCATCTAGGTTGTTTCCATCGTTTTGCTATTGTGAACAATGCTGCCATGAACATAGGTGTGGAAACTTTTCTTTTTTAATGTAGGTGTTTATTACTATAAATTTTCCTCTGAGGACTGCCCTCACTGCATCCCATGTGTGATGTGCTTTCATTTCCAGGTTTTTTTTTATTTTATTCTTGATTTCTTTCTTAACCCAATAGTTGTTTAGTAGTGTGTTGTTTGAGTTCCTGAATTTGTGTGTTTTCTAGTTTTGCTTCTGCTGTTAATTTCTAATATTATTCCTTTGTGGTCAGAGAAGATACTTTGTATCTTTTTAAATTTGTTGAGACTTATTTTGTGGCCTACCATATGGTCTATTCTGGAAAATGATCCATGTGCACAGGAGAAAATGTATATTGTTCCATTGATGGGTGGAGTGTTTTATATATGGCTGTTAGGTCTAGTTGGCTTATGGTATTATTTAAAGTCCTCTATGTCCTCACTGATCTTCTTTTTAGATGTTCTGTCCAGAATTGAAAGTGGTGTACTGAAGTCTCTGACTGTTATTGTGGAGTTGGCTATTACTCCTTTTATCAGTCAGTATTTGTTTCAAATATTTTGGAGCAGTGATGTTAGGCACATATGTATTTATAATGGCTGTGTGTTCTTGATGAATTGATCCTATTATTATTATACATTGTCTTTCTTTATCTCATATAGTAGATTTTGATTTAAAGTGTATTTTATCTGATGTCAGGATGGCCACCCCTGCTCTTTTTTGGCTAATAGCTGCAAGGAATACTCTTTTCCATCTTTTTACTTTCAGTCTTTTTTGTATCCTTATGTCTGAGGTGTGCCTCTTGTAGGCAGAATAAGGATAGATCATGTTTTTTAATTTCATTCTGTCACTCTGCCTTTTTGAATGGGGAGTTTAGACCATTTACATGTAATTACTGAAAACAAAGTACCTGCTTCATTTTGCTGTTTTTTGTGTGTCCTCTATCTTCTTTGTCCTGTGATTCCCATATTATTGTTATTTTTTGTGTTTATCTGCTTTTTTGTATTGCACCTTTTTGATTTCTTCCTTCTTCCCTTTTGTGTGTTTTTTCTAAGTATTTTCTTACTGGTTACTGTGAATATTACATTGAACAACTTAAAATTGAAGCAGTTTATTTCAGCTTGCGGTCAACATTTAACATACAAGCAATAAGTAACATACAACATTAACATACCCCTGTTTTGCTTCTCCCTCTCCCTTTTGTTGTTGAGTCTCCAGTTATATCATACGGCCGGTATCTGATGGATTTAATTTGTTCTTAATT